AGACAAAACAATTCCTGGAGTGGTCAGTGGAGCTGTCCTGGCTGTCCTGAGCAGGGAGGAAACAGAAATGATTTCACTTCCTTCTGCATCTCCTCACCCTGAATCACCTCTGGTAATTTATTGTGGATGTTTTTGGGTTAAATGTCTCAATCACCATGGTTTTTCACAGGTATTTGTATTTATTGGTGCAGCTCGTGGGCAGCTGATTGCTTTCCCCATGTTTTTGGGGTGGCAGTGATGGAAACACGGGGTTTGTGTCCACCAAGAGCTGCTCAGGACCAGGATTTGCTCTTTTTCCTTTGCCACTGACCTTCCACAGCTTTTGCAAATCCTTGTGCTGAGATAAGGTTTGAAAAAAAAAAAAAAAAGTAAAATTTAAATTTCACTTTTCTCAAATTTAGAATCACCACACTCCCATTTCCTGGGGTGATGCTCATTGCTGAGCTCTCCCACTCTGCTGTGAACAAATTCAGGGTGACAGCGAAGGTGACACCTGATTTAGGTGACACTGATGCCTGATGATTTTTGCTTTTCCTTTTTACATTTTCTGTACCCTTTATGTATCCCTTGTACCCTTTAGCTCATGTTTGTAATTCCTGATATTCCAGCTTAGTTTAGGAGTTCTGCTGGGCAGAGATCAAACATCCTGAGGAAGGGCTCAGTGTGCCCTGTGCTATCTTAAACCCGAGCTCAGCCTTGGGTGAAGCCTTCTGTCCAGAACATCTTGTGTAAACTGAGCTCTGGCATCATCCAGGATTCATTAGAATAGGGGGACATTACTGCATTTTTTAAATTTTGTATTGAGGAATCCTAAATAGATATGCAAATTCTTGAAACCTATAAAACTTGTATCTTATTGGGGAATCCTAGATAGATATGCTAATTCCTGAAACCTATAAAACTTGTACCCATGCTGTACACTTGTGTGCATTCTGCCATCAAGTTGTGCACCTGGGATCCCAAATACCGAGGCAAAACCCTTTTTATCCCCTTAACCGTGTTTGTGTCATTATTAAAAACTTTCAAGGCGACAACACCACAGCCCAGGAGGGCACCAGGAAGGTGAGGATGCTCTCCTCCCTCCCCAGGAAAGGAAAATCACCCACGTTTCTGAGTGAAAATGCTGCCAGGAGCATTTTTGGTTCTTGCTTTGCTAACAGAGCAAGAATGCAAAAACCTTGAGCACAAGATTTCGCATTTTGATGCATTTTAAATCACTATTTAATTCAAGAACTCTYGTGCCTGTCTGTCTCTTTATTTCTCTGTTGTGTAAAAAGTTCTCTCAGTGTTTTTATAAACTTGAGAGGAACATCTTTCAKCTGTTTGGAAGACAAAGAGGATCTTGTAAAATATCAGGAAAAAAAAAAAAAAAAGGCAGGAGCTGAAAGGCTGAGTGAGAAAATTGGGGTGGGTGATTCAATTGATTAACTGAGACCCTGATCTCTCCACCAGTGGGAACCAGGCACTGGAAATGAGATGTAGGGCCCCAAAATTATAATTAATTAAGCAGAAAAAGCAACCCAATGTGGTATTATATCATTTACAGGTACTACACGCCGTACTGAGGATTATCATCTGAATGCCACAATCACAGCTGCATGAAAACAGATATTTAAATTTGTAACTTCATTACCTTTGTAGAGCTCTTKTCTACTTTTGGACACAGAATATCCCATCAAATATTCCTCTCAAACTCTCTCAAATAAACAAAGCCCCGAGTGTGAGAGGAAGGTAATAAGGACAGCATTTTCCAGCTTCAGAATTGAAGTGGTTTAATGTGTTTGGATCTCCAGAAACAATCTTCCTGCAGTTCAGTAATTTTCCCTTTTTTCAAAAAACACAGAGARTTTCCATTTCCTAACAGTAGCAGATTAACACTTGATGACTTTTATGGATTAAAAGTTGTTTTTTGGAGTGTAATTATGGCAGCAGGGAAATCGTGT